CACAATAAAACCTGATTTTTGCGCGCTTTGTAAACGCAGGTGAAAAATTACGAGTTTTCACCCAACTGCATAATCGTCTTTAAAAATTCGAATCTCCATCCAAAACAGGCAACAACTTGAAATTCATAGCTTTCCATCCTTGCAGACACTTTGGAAGACATTTGACTCTGCAAACGTTGAAAGTTTTATTCAGGTCACACCAAAATCTGAGTTTTGCACGCTACATATTCACAGGTGCGGAAATGGGAGTTTTCGCTCAACTGCACGCTGGTCTTTAAAAATTGGCAAATTTGCGTCCAAAACAGGCAGCGACTTGAAACTTGCAGGCACTTTGGAAGACACTAGACTCTGCAAATCATGAAAATTTCATTCAAATGACGCCAAAATTTGATTTTTGCGCGCTTTATTAGCACGGGTGCAAGAATGGGGGTTTCGCTCAATTGCACGCTCGTCGTTAAAAAATCGTATCTTGCCATCCAGAGCAGCTGAGGGCTTGAAACCTTCCCACTCTATAGAACACACTTGTCATTTTCAGTCTTAACTTGATTTTTGCTCATTCAGGCGTAAACTGCGCTCATGAATTTTCACAAAACTCAACTACTACGGGGCTAAAAGATATTTCGTGTGCTGGAAACATCATAAGTTAGTGTAGTAAGAATGATTTAGCGAAAAAGAGCAACATTATTTTCGTGTCCGAAACCGTAGAGCTGCGTTTGAAAAGTTTTCGTCGCAACCTCAATTGACTCATTACTCAAATGGCATTTCCATTGCAGACAATAAGTGGACCGCTCCACCATGGAGCACCTAAACTCGCACTTGATTCTCAGAGCCGTCAACTTCCACGGACAGCAGTTGCAAAAGCTGTGGGAGGGCGAGTTCGGCGACAACGATCTGGCCCGCAGAGGCATCAAGGACTTGAACTTCCAGGTGTACGGCCAGAGGCAGAAGAACCTCTCGTTTCAGGACCGCGGCAAGCGGCTGAAGCTGCAACAATTCATTGTGAAGAAGAGCGGCATCATCTTTACCATGCATCCCTCAGGATTCAAGAGCCAGACGGACATCCCTATCTCGGAGGACTTGTTTGCCATCACGCCCCCTATTGAGATCTATATCAATGCCGATCGGCAAAAGAGGCTGCTGTTTTTCACCGAGGTGCGTAAATAAATTGTTTTTATTTAACTGCATAATACAAATAATCCTCTCTTATGTTATCAGAATGTGAAGGTCGGCGACCTGATTCTGGGCACGATTGTGAGCAAACAGCAATCAGGGATGATGCTGAAAGTCTTGTGCACCGCCGGCAATGACGGGGTGGTAAAATACGCCGCTGACATCAACATTAAGGTGAGTCTCTGCAAGCATCCCCCAATCAGACTAAGGCACTCCAGGGCTTGATTGCAGGCTTTTTGTCCCGTCGCCAATGTGATCCCGGCAGTAGACAGGAAGGGCGCATCGCGCAGTTACATGATGAACGACTATGTCTGTTGCGAAGTGTTGGAAGTGATCGCAGACACTGATAAAATGGTATGCGGGATGAAGGGCACCTCTAGAAAGCCCGGCGATCCGGAACATCGCCCCCCTTTGGGCCTGATTAGTACCGACGACTTTCCCTTGATTTACAAGTAAGCACTTTTTTTAGTTTTTGGACCTATTTATCTGCAAAGAACAGTGGTTTTTCATCGGCTAATTACACCTTTTGCAACTCCAATCCACTTAATTTTAGCTTGAGAAATGGGCGTGTTTGGTGGAAAGTTGCCTACACTATTTTTGCGTGAAATCGCCTAAATTTCAAGGGAAAATTGTAATTTTTCACAAGTTTGGGGCCTGATTATGAAAAATCCCTGTTCAATTTCGTGTCTTTTTTCAGCCAGGTTAATTTGCGATATATTCAATGGAAATGCATAAGTAATTTCCCAGCGTATAAGTAGATTTTCAAGCATTGTTCGTGTTTAGCCGATGAATGTGTCTAGGCTATAGGTATTATTGGGTGCACATTAAAGGATATGCACTAGACAAAAACCCTGAAAGAACATAGAGCCATTAAAAGCACAGGGATTGCGAGAGAAGAGCATTAGAGCTGGCCAAAGGCTGCCCGATAGATAGTCACAATATCTCGACGTACTGGGGGTGGTTTGTTGTCTAAATGTGTTTTTCTTTTTAGAAAACAAAAATTTTGAGAGAAATAATTAATAATAAATGTGTGCAAACCGAGTGGTATACAGTAACATTAGTCAAATCATTGTACACCAACGTCCAGGTGAGGAACTTTTCATAGCAAGTGACATTTTGTGAAACTGTATAATGTACATAAGCCGTGTTTTTCGCAGAACCCCACCCGGCATAAAATTCGAATTAAAAATGTCGAAGATGACTGAGCCATTTATTTCTTATCATACAGACATTGCTGACTGATTGATTGATATGATTAGCTTTGTGTTTAATGCTGCCTAAAGGAGCACTTTTATTTGATATGACAAAATTTATTGCGTTTAGTTAAACAAGACTTAATGGAACAAGGAACGATTTACGTGGTATGTATGACTATTTTAGGAACATGCTTTCTGGACTAGAGGCTCCCGATGTCATGTGGGGCCGCGGCGCCCTATAGAGTGCCTGCCATTCCGCCTGTTCCTCCAAATCTATAAAAACCCAAATTTGTCTTTCAGGAAATCGCTGGATCATAAAAATGAATCGTTCGAATCGGTAATGGAGAAGAGCATTGGCTTCAACAATCCCAACAGCATTCCGTATTTGGCCAATCAAATGGGAATCAATGACCATCTGACCCTGATTGAAAGCCTTCGGTAAGCCCCGTCTCAGCCAGTAATCAAGCAATATTTTACATCATCGTTTTGTGATTGGCAGCGGACGATTCCCGGAAAACGAGTACGCCAATGAGCTGCGCCAAGTGCAGGCCAGTAAATGGGCGTATCGAAACGTGGCCGACGGCATCGACCATTTTAAGGCTGGCAAACATGTGGAGGCGTTCCAGTGCTTGAACAAAGCACTCAACATCGACCCGCGCAACGTGGAAGGACTGGTAGCGCGTGGCGCGCTTTACGCCAACAGCGGCAACTTTCAAAAGGCCATTGAGGACTTTGAGACCGCGTTGAAGTTAAACCCGAGCCATGCCAATGCCCGGAAATACATGGGCGAGACTCTGGTAGCACTTGGGCGCAGCTATGAGGAGGAGAACAAGATTGAGGAGGCCCGCAAGGCTTATCAAAGCTGCCTGTCCATCATCCCCTATCACGAGGAAGCGAAGGTAAACCATCAATCACGGCCTGTATCGGTTAACCAAAGGTGTCCTTTCCAGAATTCTTTGGAATTTTTGAAGAACAAGGATAAGCAGGTGAGCAAGAACCTGATCGAGCCCGCGGAACTGTTGCTGCCCAATATTCCCGTGCTGCCCAAGCCGGCCACCGATGTGAACGACGCCTTGAAGCAGCTACTGAAGAACGAGGAGGACGAGAAGAAGGACAAGAAAAAGAAGAAAAAGGACAAGAAGAAGATGAAAAAGAAACGCCATTCTAGCTCGAGTTCAAGCAGCAGCTCATCGGGAACAGGTGACAGCTCCAGTAGCTCGTCGAGTAGCAGCAGTGACTCGAGCTCTTCGAGCGGCGACTCGGACTTTAAGAAGAAAAAGAAGAGCCGCTCTAGGTAGGACTACAGCCTTCGCTCTATCCCCAGATCTTCAGCAACATTTTGTTCTGTTTGTAGACGCGAAAAGCGCGAAAACTCCCTTAGTCCTCTCAGTAAGCGCATGGCCATGATGGACGCCCAGGCACATGACGCCTCTTCGACTAGTTTCAACTTCAACAAGCCGGCCACTACCAGCTTTGCCGAGTTTGGATTTGAAGTGCCCGAAAAGCCAAAGTCAAGCGTCGAGCTGGACTATGAGGCCAAAGTCAAGGCCTTCCTGTTGGAAACCAAAGACGACTCTGACTACGAATTAAAGGTAACTGACTCAGACACAATACAAAGCGCACAAATTACTAATTACTGTGGGTTGCAGATTCGCAAATTCCTCGAGGAGAACGTCAAGTGGAAGAAGGGCAAGGGCGGCGAAGACAAGAAGAAGAAAAAGAAAAAGGACAAGAAAGCGAAGAAGGAAAGCAAAAAGAAGAAGAGGAAGGAAAAGGAAAAGCTGAAACGCAAAGGTCTCGACCTGGACCTGGACGATCACAAGAAACTGCGCGACGCCATTAAGAAGGAGCTGAGCAAGGAGAAGAAGAAGAAGCACAGCGTCGCCTCGGATGAGGATGAGTACTTTTTGCAAAAGTCCGGCGTTTCCAAAAGGTAAGCGTAATACGACCAAAGAGTAGGAGATTTATTTATTTAACCATCAAAGATTTACAGCAAATTATACATAAAACTGTAAAACCCTGCAGAGATAAACTGAGCGATTACACTACGCATTTTCCCCGACTTATTGGCCGATTATTGAAGGTCGCCAGCTATGAGCGTAACAAACAACAGAACTAAAGTATTGAAAGTTATGTTCGAGGTTCGCCAACCTCAGACCCGGTTTTGAGCCTATTAGCTCCATCAGCTGGGTTTAGCCTGAAATTAGCGATCCCAAAACCTGCTCTTGAAGGTCATGATACAATTCATATCTAATTTTATGTCTTCCCCTTTTCATATTTTCTAATTTTTGTTGAACATGTTGCACTATCGCCCATAACCGTTGCGCGCTTGGAATTGCAGGTTTATAGAGAGTCTGCCCGATCTAGAGGAACTAGAATCGAAGCTAAACGCCTATTATGCTTTGGAAAAGGACAGCAAAAGGTGCAGTTTCAGTAATTTTAGCCGCTAACTCCCTACTAAAACGAGTCGTGATTTTGCAGAAGCGATATGAGCGAATCCCCCAAACTGTCGCTCTTGGACTCGCCGTCCCCTACTAGAGAACAGAAGGCCAGACAAGCGGTTGCAGAGGCAACAGCGTCGGCCGGAAAATGGAAAATGCACTTGGCCGGGCCGCCCCCACAACCCAGCCGCATGAAGAAGAAGCAGCAGCAAGAGCGCCCGCCGTCGCCCCACTGGCCACCAGAGCTGCCGCCCGAAAAGCCGCGCTCTCGCAACACGTAAGGCTTCAGCCAAAACTTGGCACATTTTCCCGAATAAACCGTTAAGTTCCAGGATCGGCTTTGACGAGATGCAATCGACGTCCAAGAAGCTGCTGCCGCCCTTGCCGCCTGCTGAGAAGAGTGTCAGTGTGCGCAAGCAGATGGCGATGAAGGAGCCGATGGCCAAGCGCCGCTCTCAGTCTCCGAAGAAGCCGCCCAAGATGCTGGCGCCGCCACCGCTTCCACCCGCCCCCAAAATTCCCCAGGGTCAGGTGGTGTTGGATAAGTTTGGCAACTTCCGCCTGATGACACCGCCCGAGATCAAGAAAAGCAAAGAAGCTATGGGTTTGGGTAAGTCTAATGCTTTGTCTTCGAATGAATCATTAAGTGAAATTTTTCATATTGGGTTTTTGGAGTAAAAAAATTGCAGTTTTTTCGGGTATTGACTGTTTGATGTGTGTAGGAGGACGCCCGCCTGAGCCGCCAGGACGTCCCCGTTCAGACAGCCGTTCACCTAAACGCAGGTCTCGTTCTCGATCCCGCCCTAGCAGATCACGTAGCAGCAGCGCGTCTGGGAGTCGGTCCAGGAGCTACCGGTCCAGATCCCGCAGCTACTTTTCCAGAAGCCGATCTCGCTCAGGCTCGTTCTACTCGAGAAGTCGCTCCCGCTCCCGAAGCTACTCGGGCGATCGCCGCTTTCGCAGAAGAGGTGGCTTTAGAGGAGGCCGAAACGACCGCGGAACTTACTACAAACCGCGCTACCCGAACCCGAGGTTTGATAATCGGGGGCGTGGTCGCGGCGGCAACTACTACAACAGGTAAGCGTTTTGGAGTTCCTCCAGTTTATTTGGAGGTTAATTCCGATTTATAGGGATCGATTTGATAGGAACTTCCGAGGTCGCGGTCGCCCCTACGACAACTACAACAACCGCATGGGCAATCGCAGGCATCCGCGCGGACGCTACGGCGGCAATCGTGGCGGGTATCGCGACTACCGAGATCGCAGGTACGAGCGAAGCCGCTCAAGGGACCGAAGCAGGTGAGCTTACTTTCGTCTGGATTGTTGCCGAATGAAAATTTGAGCGAATTTAGGTCATACAGCCGCAGCCCTGAGCGCTCAGACAACGATTCGCCGAGGAGAACCCGCGACCGTGACGCCAGCAAGGAGAAGATCAACAAGTATTCGGAAGGCGCGACCGTGGAGGCGGGCGAGAACCCAGTTAGGCACGATGGGCCCCTGTCCGAGGGCGAAGACCGGGACGACTACACTAATAATGATACCAGTAAAGTGGTGGACGCAAGTGAGGCAAAGGATGATTAGAGGGTAAAGTTGTGTTAATTTGTACTTCAATAAACTGTTCTATGCATGCTTTCGGATGCTTCGTTTGGCGCCCAGCCCCCAGCAGGGCCGGTTGCTCCTCGACGGACAGCCCCCTTTCGCAGAGCGCACGTTTTTCGGAAGTCAGGCGCGCATTCCCTGGCCCGCCGAAGTTTAGTCGTTCGCGATAGTTTACGCGGAGCGCCAGCGGGGATCGGCCCGAACTCGCCACATTCAATCGTCCGTTCAATTGTTGTGCTTTGCTTTTGGTCATATTTGCTGCGCGAGTTTGGCTCATCAGTTGATATTTACATGAGAATGGGGCTTTTTATATCCCCGCCAAGACTGGCTAACAATGGGGCCTTGTTCGCGAATGGAATGCCGGCAGGAAGATGTGTCGTAATGGGCCGCTCACAATGGGGCCTAACAATGCGGCCACTAGACCGCGCGTTGGGGCCCTATTGTCCGGCCCCCGCCAAGTTGCTCCGCACAATTTTGCCCTTTTCCCCACAAACAATACAATCGATTATCAGCAAAGGAGGTACATTGATTTTTCCATCCAGTTTTTCGTTTTTTACTCAGCCGGAGTTATTATCCGCGCCCGTTTCTGGCTTTGAAGCCCTCGTGAAATTGAAGTTTTCGCTGATGTTTCGCAAGCACGAGTGGCTTGCATCCTCAGAGGTTTACTCGTGCTCGCAAGCCGCCAGGGACAAGTTCTCTTGAACCTGAAAGAGCATAAAAGCGCGTAAAGTTTTGCCTAAGAGAAATATTTACAGGGTGTGTTGTGAGTGGGGACTATTGTTCAGCGGATTTCGTGTAATAAAATCGGAAGAAATCTTGAAACGGGATGCCCCCCCTAAGGAAATAAAACAGTTTCATTGTTGCTGGCTCAGCTACGGCGCTGGAAAGTGTATCAATAGCGACGCAGCCGAGAGATAACTCGCGATGCGATGCCATTGTGCAGAGATGAATATAAAGGGACAAAGATTCTACAATACAACATACAATGAACACAATGGGAATAGTGTTGTATTCAGTATTGTATACATATAATGGAACTATAGAAGCAAGCTTAATGCCATTTCAAACTCGGCTGTTATCAGCGACGGCGGCCTGGGAAGGGACTGACTGCACCGAGTGGCGGTTTCCTGGCCGGGGCTAATTGTTTAATTGGCGCCGTCAGAATAGAGCTCGAACGCCCATATTGTGCCGCTCTAAATGGCTCTATTAATATTCGGAATTTAATTAATTTTCGCGAGAGTTCGACGAGCGCGTTTTTTTCCACCTGTCCAGGACTTTTCGCCTTCGGTCCCGTTGTATTGTCTTCGGGCCCCGCTGTTTAAAGGGCCCACACTTAATTTCTTATTGTTTGCGGCCGTTTTGCTTGCTTTTGTTTCATTGTAATTCTTCTGATAATTCTTTCCCATGCCGCTGGTCCATTGTTTCAGAGTGGTGCGGGGCGGCCGCAGTATTTTTCAGCGGCGCTCTCTATTTCCTTTTTGCCACTTTTCAACACAATGTAGTTACTCTATTCGTTGCTGAATGGCTTCTTTCTGTTTGGCTCCTCTACATTGTTCAGAAGCCATTGTTCTTTTCACATGCCATGGATGGGGGAGTTTTCATTTAACCCCCGTATGTTAGTCGATTGATTCCTTCCTAAAGATCTAGTGGTCTGAGATAGGCCTGGGTAACACTGTGTTGAGTTGTTGCCGCGCTTTGCGTTAATGAGACTTGAATGAATTTTAACGTCTAAAAAAAGTCATCAATATTTTCTATGAGTTAAGTTTTACCAGCAACGGCACTGAGTTACTGCGCCGGTGCGTTGGGTTGGCGCACCAACTTTTACCAAAATTTACTGAGATACTTTTTCGGGTGAAACGATTGCTTGAAAATATTTGGTCTAAAACGGGAATGACCGGAAATTTTGAGGAAACTTAAACACTTTTCATGAGCGATTCAGGATACGATTTTGCTTTCTCGGAGCGTTTTTCAGGAAAACTAATTTTTCCGAAAAAAAAAACGAGACTTGGTGCGTTTTTGCCCCAAATAAGGTAAAACGGGTATTCGAAAAAGACGATAAAGAAGACCAAAATCGATCTAATTTTTTGCATGAGAATCCAAAATTTTACAGTAAAACGTGTTGTGGACCAAAAGTGAAGAAACCGGAATTGAAAAAGATGAAATTATTCACAGCAACGAGGTGACGAGTGTTCGAAATAATTGATTATAAACTCACTTGGTCTGTTCGGGAAAATGTTTTTGGGAAAAAATCCAGAAAAAATTATTATGGTTTGCGAAAAATGTTTACGAAGTTCGGTAAAAACGTCAATAAAATTATCTGGGTTTTGTGCCAAATTCGAAGCTAAAAAGTTTTCTAAAATTCCCTGCAAAGCGAATTTTCTAACAAAATTAATTTTATCATTTTTGACTGAAAATGCAAAGTGGCACAAACAATTTTGCGCTTTTCATTAAAAACGTTTAATTTTGCAATCGATTTTTGAGAAAACCCAATGATTCGAAAAAAAATTAAGTCGAAACAAAATACCACATTTTTTTAACAAATTCGAAAGTGTTCTGATTTATTATGCAGTTTCGCTTATTTTGTTCGTTTTTTGATAAAAAAGTTGTTTGAATTTTGGGACCAAATACGAAGCTGGAAACAGATATCAAAACTTTTAACAAAACGACGAAGGAGGCGAGTATTCTAATAAAATTTATTTTTAAATTTTTCGCAGAAAATACCTTCAGATTGTCAGTATTTCAACTGCAATAATCTAGAAACAGATTAAAAAAAGGTCATCAACATATTCCCAACAACGGAACCGAGTTACTGTGCCGGTGCGTTGGGTTGGCGCACCCAGCCATTTGCGCAGCATTGCGCCAACTCCAACTTTGAGGATTAGTAGGTTTTGTTTATTGGAATCAATCGGTTATTTTCCTTTATTATAATCAGGAAACACTCTGTATAGTTGCATAATTGTTAATTGGCGATTTGAATTGCCGATGGGGCGCTGCGAAACGTAAACAAGTATGGAGGATAACGAGTAAAATTTGGGAAACAAGCGAAACGCAGAAAAAAATCAGTGACATTTTTGAGAAAATTAAAATTGTACAGGAAGTACTTTTGTATATAATACCGGTATTTTATGCACTACGCACTTTTCCCCGATTTATTTGACAATATTTTAAGACCATCTTCTAGGCCGTCATCTTGGAAATTGTTCGCGCAATAAATTGGTGGTAAAAAGTTCAGTAAATCCAGCGTAAATTTCAAGACATTAGATCTGTTGTTTTGGGTTGGTAACGATACGTAGATCATAGCAAAAGAGCCAAGAGGCAAATTCTTTGCATATGCCTCCAAAGAAGCGACTAATTTTCTTTATTAATTTGCTAATCTTATTGCATATATCAGATTTTCAACATCTGAAACCAATTAAATGAAAAAAAAAATAACTTGCTAAGTTTAAATCGGCAATAATTGAGTCCGCAAAAAAACACCACTAAAAAAGTTGTTAGTTCAGGGCTTTTCTGTAGGGTGAGCGTAATTTTAACGACGTGCGAAAGGGCCTGATTGAAAGTTAATAAATTTTCTTTAAAGTTCAATCAACTTTTTCTTTCATTCAAATTTGATTTGATTTCTTTCTTCTTGAGAGAGAGTACGCACACTGCAGTTTATCTTATTCCTGAAACTTCATTTTTTTAAATGTTTGGTTTCGGAAAATATGCTTGACAAAAGAACGAAAAAACATAAACATTAAAGGAATTTTTGTCTGCGATGTTGCCACGCCTATATTTCTGTTTTTCCTAAGCTGATTTTGTAGCTATTAGTTGTGTTTTTATTAGTTTTGTTTAATTTGGCTTGTTGCAACTTGTGCTGTTTTGTGTTAGTTTAGGTTAGCACAGTTAAAACACCAGTACATCCCTACTAATATTATAATTTAAATGGATTTTTTGTTATATTTTGCGTTATATAACAGCTGTTAATATCGGACCGCAAATCTCAACAATTACCGGCAAATTCCATTCTGATGATAGTTTTAGAAAATCGTGTGTAAAAAATTGACAATGTTTATGAATTTAAAAGGGCACGGCAACAACGGTTATTGAGCGAAATTTCAACTTTTGTCAGCCGACAACAGCGCTTGCGCCAACCTACAAAAAATTTGCTACGGGACATCTGCTGTCACTTCCGGTGGAAAACGTTTTTTTTTCTCAAACATTGTGAGTTTATCGCGTAAAAATTGTGTTTTTAGTCTTCGGTGTATCAGTAAAGTATTCAGGTTCGGTTTATCAGTCAAGGGCAGTCGGCAAGAAGCCCGAACAGGCCAAAAGTCAATGAACTGGTCAGTGCCCAAACCCTAAAGTACGGTTGATCATTTTTCCCACTGGATTGCTGTTTGGGGCCAATTAATTAACCCATAAGTGAACCCACTGGAAGGATTGTTTAATATTGCCCATAGGTTTAAAGGTTTTTGGGGCCTCAACGCCCAAAGCGAATGCGTGGTTGCCAAACCCCCCACTCCTTCCCGGTGTGCTATGAGTAATTCGCTCTGAAGGCAAAGGAGAATTGTCGAGTGGTTTACAGAAGCCTGCAACAGCGCAGCTCACCACAGAGATTTTCAAAGTGTCGTGTTATTTTCGGGCAAAGTGCGGAATTTGGAAGTGAAAAATGCATTTATTAGTGCCGTTTAAGTGCAGAGTGGTCCGATATTGCGGACCCTGCAGGGCAGAAGTGCCGAAGTTTACTTCCAGGCTTGAGACAGGTAAGATTGCACTTTTGTCCCATTTGCCTGGTCTACTAAGAATGAAATGGAAACACTGGGCTCGTTTTGTATTACATTGCCGTTTATTAGATCATAACTGAGTTATGATCAACACAATTGAGTACAATTTTATTTAGTTTAGTTTAGGCATTTCCCTTTCCTTGTCACGCAAAGGAAGCGGCACTGTTAATGGATTTTGCCAACAATTGGCATTAGTCTGGCATGTTTATGCATATATGTACTTGTCCATCGACTCGTACATAAAAATAAAACTGCAATGTTATGGAA